AGCCAACTTTCTTATGTGTGGTAAGTTCTTTGAAACTTTATTTTACTTATTTAACCCCTCTCTTTCTCTGGACGTGAACGTACTTCAATATGCAGATTCGACATTTTGTGTGCTTTCGATGACGATGCATCGTTTCAATACTTTGTGTTACGCGGCAATACCCACGAGTGGGTTTTGGAACATTTTTTAGGTATACTTCATAAAAAAAATTGAATGTTTGATAGATCGTCGCCAAATGTCATATTTTTTTAAATTTCAAATGGCACCCCGCTAACAAATTATACCTCTGGGTAGCCAAAGCTACAAATTTTCCACTGATATAAAGAAAACCACTCATTCCATAAGAACATTTTAGAGAAAAACCAAGGCCAAACGCCAATTTGTAAAAGAAAACGTTATTTTCCGAACCCAAGTGTGCCATGATGAAACAAAAGATGTTCAATTGTCACAATTAACATCAGTAAAGTGTCGGCAGTGTATGATGTTTTTTAATCAACGTTGCCAAAATGTCCCAAACTCAAGCAGGAATTTTTGATATAGTGTTTATTCTTAGAAACCGTTCCCGAAAGTTTGCTGGCGTCATTTGTTTTCCAGACACTGTACTGTTAATTGCGAGAATTGAACATCTTTTGTTTCATCATGGCATACTTGGGTTCGGAAAAAAACGTTTTTTTTTTTACAAATTGGCGTTTCGACTTGGTTTTTCTCTGAAATTTTCTTATGGAATGTCTGGTTTTGTGAAAAACAAAAGTATAATTTGTTTAGGGGGTTGCCATTTGAAATTTTAAAACAATATGACAGTTGGCGAAGGTCAATCAAAATAGTTTTTTGTGCAACCAGTTGGGAAAAGCATTATTTTTCGTAACGAACGAACCGAGTTAGCCGCCCCTCTCCGCAACCTCCCCAATCCACAAAATCCGCCACATTGTTTGGCATATGTCGCGACCCCGCTCAATGGCAACAAAGTGGTGGAGATGCACCCCTGTTAGTTGCTACCAGGGACACATCCCCACGACAGTTGACTAAATTCTGGGAGAGGCGGCTACGCCAGGCATATGCCAAAGTATCAAAATCCTCAGTAAGCAGTTGCACAAAAATCCACTAGATCTCATACCGAGATTGATCACTCCCCCTTAGTCAAAAATGGTGTAATGTGCCCAATTTTCAATGTTGAAACTGCTACCAAGCTTTGGCAACTTGTACCCCACTTACTTCAGGCACTTTTGAAGAAAAAATCAGCTTGTGTACTTACGATTTCAGACACTTGAAGGTATTTACAGTAAGGAATAATAATGTGAACATTCGAGGATTTATTGCTATTTATTGAAATACGACGTTTAACAGCTACGTACTGTTCGTTAATCCTGTCTCTTATAGGTAATAGGTAATAAAATTGCACAACATTCAAAAATAAAATATGTTACACGTGAACTATGTTCGTATAGTCTACAACCACGTCATTTATACGGAAGTAACTCTTATCACTTCATACAGCCACTTTGAGGTTCTTATACTTTATTGCTTCGTTTGCTGACATCTCCGTCGAAATCAGTCAAAATTGTGAACACACAGACCCGCGTCAATGCGGCGCATGCGATTGGTACGAGGCAACATCCAAACCCGCACGAAGAACGGCCTGACTGGCGAACACCCGTCCGGCCAAATCACCAAGAGCCCTTTCCAACTGCTGATGTTGGCTCCTAACCGCGAATCTATTTACATGCACCGGTATCGGAACCACTAATTTACTCTTGTTCGGTTGACCCGTTTTCGACTGATGCGGACCGGCTGCGAGGCCGGCCTTCACCCTTTTCCATTTCGCCCGTCGATTTTGAAACCATATTTTCACCTGCACCTCGCTCAAACGTAACGCCGAGGCGATTTGGCTACGCTCTGTTAAGGATAGGTACTTTTTCGCGTGGAATTCTCTTTCGAGCTCTAGAAGTTGTTCGCTCGTAAACGCTGTCCGTCGGCGGCGGGTTTTCGTTGAGCCGGCACCTCCTTCGCTCGTCGCGTCCGTGGGGTGGCTGTCATCAAGTTCTTCCTCGATGTCGGAATCTGAAAGGAAGGTTACGTGTTAGTCGCCGCAATCAAAATCGTATTTATCTTTGAGTTAGGAGTAGAAGCCGTTCCTCATCGTTTTGTTGTCGTTTTTTTACGGCATTTCTAGAAAACAAAATACGCTATTATATTCGTTATGACTGGCTGGCTGGCTGTCCGACTGAGATCTCAGCAATTACAATAGCTAGAGACTTCAAATTTTCGCTTAAAGGTTTCTGATATAGTATAGATGTGCAGGATCTAGTCTATTTTGAGTTAGATTACTCGTGAGATCGATAAAATGACAAATTTATTTACATATCTGCTTGTGTTCGTGGTTGATATGCAGATATAATAGACAGATTTATTAAGTTAAGCAGAAATATACCGGGTGATGTCTAACGCGACGCAGCATAGGTAATTTCTTTATAGTCAATTACTAGCTCCCCAAAAATACTGCATCTGTTCATACTATTACTTATCATAAGACTGTTCCTCGGCCATATTTCGAGAACCGTTCGTCATATGACTTAGGGATAAAAAAAATTATTGGGTAAATCGGTCAGGAAGAATCGCTGGAAAATATTTTCAAATTCTAAAAATGACCAACAGAGGGCGTAACTGCCATCTTAAATTTTAAAATTGCATTTTCTTTAAATTTCGCATAATAAACTAAACAATTTTTTTTCATATTTTTAAAGAGAACCAGTTTATCTATCATTTTCGTAAACCAAAAACTCACTTATTTCAAAAACAAAGATGGTGTGGGGCGTTCAATTGTTTTTGCAATACCCTGCTTTAACTTCTTAACCGTTTGACCGATTGTAAAAAATTTGGTATGGTTGAAAAGAGCAATCCTTGGGCAACAAGAATCAACAAATATAGTTAATTTAGTGGAATCCTTCTCCGCCAGGGGGCTAGTTTTGACACTATGATCCAAAATCCTAAAAAATCAAATGGAATGATACGACTTTTTCTTTATGAAAAAGTAGCCAAATAACACCCAAAGACGCCAGTGAAAACCGTTTTTCAAAATCTCGTTCCTAACTTCAAATATTGGGAAAATGAGATTAATTAATTAATCAATAAATCTGCGTAAATTGTATCTTATTTGACGTATTTCCGGTATTTGTCGATGGCGCGAAAGAAAAGCACCCTACACTTTTAGGTAGGCCTTGGAAAATTAAACAAATGAAACACGATGCATTTTGAAATAATAACAGCCGTAATTTGGAAATTATTCTGCTGTGTTTACATTCAGAAAGTGCAGTTTTTTTAATTTGTAACCTTTTCTAAAATGCCGATTTCTAAACAAGAAGTATTTCATATGCTGGCGATATATTTTGAGTATTTTCAAAAGGCGACCATCGCTGCCCACATCTTCTATTTGCGTTATCCGAATCGACCACGAACCATCGTCGCCAACATATTAAATTCTTCTTGGTTAGAAATCAGCATTTTAGAAAAGATTACAAATTCAAAAAACTGCACTTTCTGAATGTAAACACAGCAAAATAATTTACAAATTACGGCTGTTATTATTTCAAAATGCATCGTGTTTCATTTGTTTAATTTTCCAAGGCCTACATAAAAGTGTAGGGTCCTTTTCCAAACAATCTTTCGCGCCATCGACAAATACCGGAAATACGTCAAATAAGATACAATTTAAGCAGACATTATAAATCCATCTTCCTAAACATATTACTTGTTTACCCCTGACAGCCTTCAGGACTTCTGTTAAAGCATACCTGATGGATAATAGTTTCTATTCAGTCACTGAATTTTCCAGTCACGTTAAAATTAATTTAATTTCCTAATATATTTGTTTACGTTTGTCTTAGAATGTGTTGTTGTGCGTGTTATTTTATTACCTAATTATTATCTGGACGAGTGTAAGTGCAATTTATGCATGTTGACACAATAAAGTATTATTATTATTATTAAAGAAAAAGTCATAGGTATCATTTCATTTGATTTTTTTAGAATTTTGGATCATGGGATCTAAATTAACTATATTTTTCTTCTTGTTGCCTAAGGAATGCTCTTTTCAACGATACCAAATTTGTTACAATCGGTCAAACGGTTAAGAAGTTAAAGCAGGTTATTGCAAAAACAATTGAACGCCCTCTTTGTTTTTGAAATAACTGAGTTTTTGTTTTTACGAAAATTATAGATAAACTGGTTCTCTCGCGGCGCGTGCTTTCCGTACATTCATTCGAAAACTGGAACGAAATTGTATGCATTTTGGAAATTTTGTACCCCTAATGCACTACAAACCGTTGAAGCACAAGTGATACAAAGCTCTACAAGAGAATATTTAAGAAAATGAATTGAATGGCAAATGCAAGATTTTCAAAATAAATTCAATGCAAAATATAAAAAACTTCGTTGAAACATTTTTGGTATAGAATTGTTGCTAGAACAGATATCGTATTACCTCTCTTAATTTCCAGACTTATACGTTGTTTAAGAAATTCAGTTGAACGACTCTGTTTAGATTTTTCAAAAATTTTCCGTCCTGTATCCTTAATAAATGAGTTATTTATTAATGAATTATTTAAAAGAAACTAGAATCAATGGTATTAAAGAATCCATTCCTTGATTTGTTTAAAATTCGATTGTTATAAAATCATGGCCAACTACTAAAAAGAAAATGCGAAAAAAATGCCATCAATTCCGAGATCAATTCAATGAAATGGGAATAAATCAGAAACTGTTAAAGATAGCTATAGGAACATGTAATATCAAAATATGCCAATTTCGATTCTCTATCTCATGCAATATTAAGAACAGGGTCATTCCATTTAAAAAAACTGAGTTTATAGACTTTGAAGTTTCTTAAATTTGGATCTCCATAGGTGCGGTTGTACGCAACTTAACTTTTTTTTAAGTACAGTAAAAGAAAGCCCTATTAATTCTCTATGCACTGATAAAAATGGGTTGCCATGACTACAACCGTTTTCAAGTAATCAATTATCAAGGTACCATCTGCATCTGCCATTTTTTTCTTAAAGTCAAAATAACTTAAAAACCATAAATGGCAGATATCGACATATGGGTATCAAAAGAACTGAAATTTCACGTAGAATCCAAATCCAAATCCAAAAATAGGGGTTGCCATTTAAAATAACGGAATTACTATCTACTTCCGGTGTTTCCGGAAGTGTGGACATTTTGAAAATATTTTACATAGATTCGGCCTTCAGAGTAACTCCTAAGTACAAATTTTCAAAAACCTACCTATTTTACTTTCCCAGAAACTTTTAACTAAAGCTCCCAAAAAAACACCCTGTACACCATCTTTCGTATTTTTCGAAGTGAATGAACCAAACACCCTTTGAAAACGGCTTTTTAGCTTCCTAGCATGTGCTAGGTAGCTATTGCGATAGCCGTTTTTTGAACATTTCAAAATTTCATCAAATGTCGACGTTTTAGACCATTTTAAGCAACTTTTAAAGAATAAAATTTTTTTCCGTCTGTACGTACGTACGTACGTACGTTTGTTGGCAATTTTCTGAGAAAACGGCTCGACGGATTTTGTTGAAATTTTGTATATATGTTTTAGGCATACCGAACAGAAAAATAACGGGCCGGATTTTTGAAAAAAAATTTTGGAGCGCCGTAACGGCATCGAACTTTTTTTTTCAAATAGCAACCTAAAATTTTTATTCTATTATTTGGAAGACCTTATTTTCCTGTGTACAACCTACAAAAAATTGGGCCGGGTTATATTATCAAAAAACGGAGAAAAAATTGTCAAAGTCAAAAAATTGTGTTGCATATGTGCAAAACGCAACGATCTTGTTTCTGAAGCAATTTAAACGAAATTTCTATGGTAAGTCCCTTTAATAAAAGCAAACAAAATTCATGCGCAAAAATCGTGTTGCGCATGCGCAGAAATGCAATTTTCTTATTTATGGAACAATTAAAACGAAATTTGGATGGTAGGTCCTCCTAATAAAAGAAAACAAAATGCATGCGCAAAAAAATCGAGTTGCGCATGTGCAACATCCAACTTTCTTATTTATGGAGCAATTTTAACGAAAATTGGATGGTAGGTCCCTCTAATAAAAGCAAACAAAATGCATGCGCAAAAATCGTGTTGCGCATGCGCAGAAATGCAACTTTCTTATTTATGGAACAATTTTAACGAAATTTAGATGGTAGGTCCTTTTAATAAAAGCTAACAAAATGCATGCGCAAAAAATAGTGTTGCGCATGTGCAACATCCAACTTTCTTATTTAAGGAGCAATTTTAACGAAATTTGGATGGTAGGTCCCTCTAATAAAAGCAGTGCGCACATATGTTGGCAATTTTTGGTTTCAGCTAGGAAGCTATTCTGTCAAGAATTTGACACCTGGTTTTTGTAAAAATTGATAAAATACAATTTGGAATTTGTGAAGGGACAAAAAAATTGAGAAGGGTATCTTATCAACGGGATGAAAGTAATGAAATGCATCACAAGCTCCTTGCGAAAATTAACATCCAATTTTTATCTCTAAAAGGGCACGAGATATCAACAATTTTGGCAAAGTGCTGTATACATCTCTCACCTTTTCTCTCTTCTTACATGTTCTTTCAGAGTATGGTAATCTCTACATGAACAAAAAATTGGAAAATTCATTTCAATTTTCCAAATTTATTTCTACCCCTTTCGTTTTCGTTGATTTTCAGTGCCCTTTACGAGAAGAAACATGAAATAGAATTTTACTATTTTATTAGAGTTGTTTGATAAAACTTCAATTTGGTTTCATTTGGTTGGCTTAGTAAAATCAACTCAGTAGTAGCATTGTTTAAATATTAATCAATGGTAGTAGCAAGTCTTGTTTAAATTGTGAAAAGATAAAAAGTTACAACATTTTTGACTTATTACAACTTATTAAATTAGGTATGTAGTTAAAACATACTAGAACCTTACCTACTGCAATGAAATCAATTATTGTATATGTGAATCACGTCTTTGTATTGCTCTTTTCAATATTTTTTCGCACTTTAACAATTTAGAATGTGTAAATGTGCAGAGGAAATTTCCCATTCCCACTTTAGCGGATCAGTACCTACCGATAATCTGCAGATTAATCCGTCAATGTGCACATTAACGAATTTCTAACATTAGCGGTAACATATCCATGAATTTAGGGTTGCCAAGGAGTCTAAAGAATCATTAATCCAATAAGAATATTTGATCCCTCCTTTGCGTTGGAGAGGTGCTATGAAAGGTTTTCATTGAAAACTCCGCGAAATTTCTTTCTTTTTTTTCATTTTATTTCATCACAAATTACTCGATCGAAAACCAAGAAACTTGAAAGCTAATATTGTTTGATTAGAAAATAAGATAATCGAGACGTCGAGAAATTATGGGGCCTGCATTGATCCACTTCCAAAACTATAACATTAAACAAATTGTTTCTCAAACATGTGCACTCTTATTAAATATAAAGACCCGAAATTTACTCGCGTCCGAACGATATACATATTCACCCTCAATTTGCGAGGGGTTGTTTGTCTCCGTATGGGGTATGCAGTACACAAAGATATAATAACAATATATCGTTCGTGGGTAGGTTTTGAATTATAATTTATAGCGTGTTATGCGTACTGTAATTTTCCCATTTCCGCTACTCGTTTATGAGCGTTAAGTGTAGGTATACTCGATCGCTTTAATTTGCATGGAAACGTATAAACAAATTACCGCGAACACTTATTTAAGTAAATGATCCGTGTCAGTTATGAACGATTAACATTTTAGTTGGTATTTCGGGTTTGAAGCTGCGTTGAACACGATCCAAAACTAATATTTAAATGTGGACACCAAAGTATGCGTAAAAACGCAGGTAAAAGATGCAATGTTCCGAAACATTGATAAACAAATAATTAACCCACAGTAATAATTTGGTTAAGAGTTGCGTAAATACTCACTGTCTTTCTGTCCGTGACTCAGATCCAACTCGAGGCTTCCTTCTGAATCCGTATCTCTTGTAATTTGAACATGGGGATGGATGTAAGTTTGCGTTGTAGCCCAGGGTAGTGGGGGTGGTCTTCGTGGTACCGTATCACTAATTAAAGCTTCTATTGAAAAGGGTTTTGGTACCGGTTTTATTAACGAATCGGTACTAGAAACCTGCCTTAACATTGTTCTATTTGCGGACATATCCATGGCACACTTTGTCAATTTAATGTTGTACTAGCACATTATGATATTGTGCGATCCTTTTGCATTTTAGGGCGACGACAAAAATATCTTACGTGCATGTTCATTTTGTGCATTTTCTTCGGTCTGAAACAATAAGAGAATAATATATTAATATAAACATGTATATTTTTGGTTGTCTTTCACTATCATTCTATATACAGGGTGGTGACTTGCGTAACGCATCATAGGGAAAGGGATTTCAATGTAAAATTCATAACATGCGATTATTGGCTCCCCAAATTATTTTAGAGCGAAAATGTATTAAGGTTTTAAGTAGAAAAAAATTTTTTACGCCAATCAACCGTATTAGTTTTCAATTTTTTTCATATAAAGACGGAAAATTGGAAAAATAAAACCCGCTTCTTCAATAATCTGGGATGCCATGGAATTTTCTAAAACAAAATGATATCCAGTTATCCATTAGCAGCAATTCGAAATGGATTTTATGATCAACTTGATTACCGTCTTGCAGTTAATGGTAACTTATTCGCACATTTATTGTAAATTGTTATATTAGGAAACCGTTTTTAGTAATTTGGTCTTTCTTTATGTTGAATTCGCTATTCTAAATATAATACGTTTTGATAGAATTTGATTTGTTTTATAGCAGACATTCCATGGCATGACGGATATTGGCGTAGTTTTTGTATTATAAAATTCCATGGCATCACAGATTATTGGAAAAAATGGGGGTTTTATAATTTTGCGTCTTCATTATGCTAAAAATTGAAAACTAATACGGTCGATTGACGTAAAAAATTTTTTTCTACAAAAAACCTTAATACATTTTCGCTCTAAAATAATTTGGGGAGCCAATAATCGCATGTTATGAATTTTACATTGAAATCCCTATGATGCGTTACGCAAGTCACCACCCTGTATATATAAATCTATAACATTTCTGATGCCCACTTCGTTTGCGATTTGTGAGATCATCCGTTTGGGGGATATCATCAGAAGGCGAATAAAAAGGTTTTTATTCAATGGTTGAACCCTTCATTTTTAAATAAAAACAAATTTTATTGTTAACTTTTCCCTAAAAAATTAGTTCTAAATTCACTTTTATGAGAAATACCTATTTATAGCCATGTAACCATGAGTACTTATCCCAAAAAATATTTAATTTACTGCCTGTAAATTTTCAAATGTATAGCAAAAAACAATTAAAAACAATAATTAAGAAATACCTACTACTAGATAATGCCTAATTGTTTAAACCTATTAAATAAAAAAAAACAACAGTGTTCAACGAGGTCCCAAGTCGTGAGATCTCGGTTCTTAAACCCTCGGACGGCAGGACTTTAAATCTACAACCTACAAATATTTTCAACGAAATTGCAATTGCTGCACAGGGTTGATGAATTAAACATGTTGTTAACTTTGTAAGGTTTGATTTATTAAAATTGACCATTAGTTTTAAAACACCCTGTAGAAGGGTGATCAAAATTTCAATCATTCTCATGTAGCATTATAAGTCAGTAGGTATTGCTGATTTTAAAAGACTTTTAAATTCAAGTCAACAATTTTGCAAAATCTTGAGTAACTTAAAACCTTCGATGCTGGGTATAGGGAAATGTGGCATCAAACGACGTATATTTTCATGTAGACTTGCAATAATGCAATAAAATATAAGGTGTTTCTTTTTAAAATAAGAAAGTTGCTATCCACATCTTGTAAAACCGGTAGTTAAACGATCATAATATTTTCTTTCGATAGATCATAAAAAACTGTGTTGGTATCAAATTTTCAGATTTAAATTATCTATTAATAGGAGTCTGAATACTTTTAGGTACCGATTTGCGTGAAACAGCCTGTACATTATTGCATATTTCGATTCCTTGGTCAATTTTAGTTGGACTTTATGTATTACATAATATACCTAAAACCAGTAAAAATCTGATATCGCAGTTAGCATAAAACTTAGAAGGCCGTGACTCGGCAATGTTACAAATCATGAAATGTACTAAAATACGCCGAACCGTCAAAGTTAAACTTTTTTTGTGCCAAAAGAAATCGCTCAGTCAATTTTCAAAATTTCAAGCAAAGGTAACTTGATTTTTTTTAAATAGAACTACCAAGTTTTTTTTATTGCAACAAATTTATTTACCTCAAACAAAACAAAACCTTCATTTTAAAACGAGCTTTAAAAAGATAAAATAGTCAACTATGCATTTGAACCAATCGGTGAGCTTAAATAAAGCAATCTGAATAGTAAGCCATGAAAAGCCATATTGGAAAATAATTAAACAAAATAAAATAAAATCTGTCAGTTTGGTTGATTGACATTGACAATATACTAACGATTATTTTACTCGCGTCATAATTTAACTAATACCTACCTATACAAGTATATACAACAGTATCTATGTTATTGAAATCTGTATAGTGTATATATCATTGGAAGTTTTTGAAAATCCTCGAACCATATATAAAAAAAACAATATTTTATTAATATACAGGGTACCCATTATGTATGGAATATAGATATATCTCGGAAAATATCGAATGTATACTTACAACATTTTTATATATAAAAGTTGTTTCACATTTGATTTCCCATAATAAGACATCATTCAGATGTTTTTATTTCAAAGAAAACAAATGAGTAACGAAAAACAATTGAATTTTTTTAAATGGCAGTGCGCCTTTTCATTAGGCTCATTTGATAGAGATTTTTTTTTTATTTTGGATGATGTAAATTTCATTTTGCCTTCAAGGTTTAATAAGAAACGTACACGTTCATTGCTTTTATTTTGATGTAGGATATCTGGATTAATGCTATATTGATGTAATTATATTATACATTTTTTTAGAAAATTCTTCTTGTATTAGGGTACTAAGATGTTACATAATCGAAAAGAGAAAAAAAATCTATAAAATGAGCCTAATGAAAAGGCGCACTGCCATTTAAAAAAATTCAATTGTTTTTCGTTATTCATTTGTTTTCTCTGAAATAAAAACAACTGAATGCTGCCTTATTGTAGGGAAGACCTTCATATAGAAAAATTTTGTATACATTGGATACTTACCGAGAGATATATACTATATTCTATACATAATGGACACTCTGTATTTTTAACACGTTCTGTCTACCTATGTTTGTACTGAAAAATACATAGAGACATTTCAATTTCGAAATTTCATAATTTCTATACTATGATACATTTTTTGGTCCATTCCATATAACTTTCTAGACAAAATTCCCTGTTACAGGGTGCATGTTTCGTCACCCAACAATTAAGGTACCTACCTGCCTAAGTATAGGAATAATACTTTCAGCATTTTCCCCCAGCCACATGCATTTATTTAAAAAAATTGGACTGGAAAGTCTGCTCAAATAGGATCTGTCCCTTGGTCGGTAGCCTTAATCCTTTTAGTCGTTAAAAAACTGTACCCTTATTATAAACTCTCCTCGAAACTCTCGAATTACAGACAACACACTTTTAACGTGTAGGTATATCGCATGCTTTTCGCATTTTGTACTATTTAGGTAGAGACAATTAAAGTTGATTGTGGAAATGGACGTAAATTTCCTAATCTCTTATTTATATATATTATTTATAAAACTACAGTACAACCTCGTTAATCCGAATAGATTCGGACCACCGATTTTCGGATTATCGCGAAACTAGTGAAAATAATAAATTTGGACACAAGCATTAAGAAATAAACTTTATTCTTTTCAACGTCTTCAGGGGTATCATCGTTGTTACGAGGAACGAAATTATTTCGGACTATCGCGATTTCGGATTAGCGTGTATTCGGATTATCGAGGTTGTACTGTACCGGCTACCCAACTCGCTATATAAAACAGTACTTGTACAAATTCTAGCATTGAATACGAGGAATAGGAAAGAACCTTACGTTCAATACAAAAGTATTAAAGTAAAAGTTAGTAGGTTCTTAAAGCGAAATTGCCAATATTTGTAACAAAAAAAAATAAACTCACCATTAGGCAAAGATTGAAATAACCGTTAATTACCATTAAACGTCACAGTCAACAATAAATAACGTATACTTTCCGTCGCACATATAACAAGCACTCGTACTTTATTAACTATTTTTCCGCTCGTTTGCTTACATCGCTCCAAACCGATCACCCGCACGACACGTTAACTTAACAGATCGACAAGGATATATGCACACAAATCGGTATAAGTATTCGAAATCCGTCGAAGTTCGGAGTCCTTTAAAGTGATACACCGCTGAATTCGATGTAACTGATATAGAAGGGAAAGAGAAAATGGAGGCGTGATTTTGGAGGGAAAATAAACGCCCCTCGTTCATAGTTGGTTCTAGACCTTCCAATCGTACACTAACAATCTGAACTTAAATCGTTCCTGTTACTAATATTAATTAGGGTGTGATGGGATGGGGAGCTAACAAATTAATTCATTCACAAAAGTAAGCAGGCGTACAAGGTTCATTACGTTGTTTTGTTTGTGTTCTTTTCTGCAAGCACAAACTTGGTCTTCCTCAAATAAAGCTCTTACATTAATTTATTTTTTATATTGTCAATTACCTACCTAAGTGTAGGATTTTTTCACGTTTGGCTACAATTTTTATTTTCAGGCTGTCAATTGCACTACTCTTTTGCATCATAAAAGATTTGCAAATATCACATTGATTTATATACGTATGGTTCCCACGAGCTTCCCAACATCTTCACTAGAAAGGCCTGCGAATATGATTAGAAAAATGGAACACTTGATGTACGTATAAAAAAATCACCTTAGGTCGCTTTCTGTAAATGCAGAAGATTTCACAGACGCGTGTAATTTAGAGGGTATGATGCCAAATCTGTTCCATTTGTTACTCGCAGCATTGTTTTAAAGTTTTGAATGAATGCACCAAAGGATAGAAGATTTAAGTAGGCATCTTTGATATTCCCTTCAAATATAGCAGCATTATCGACACATTTAAGACTTTGTTCCTAAGATTCTTCTTATTTATTTATCACCAACAACTTTTCATACTCTTTATAATAGGATCTACTGGATTTGGATTTTGCACCTACCAACTTTTCTTCTGCTTTTGCAACAAGCCATTGAATGGACGGTGTATTTATTATCTTTTTCAACCGGAGTCATTTTATATTTACAAAGACGGTCATTTTTATAAGCAAACGTCAAGTGACATTTCCATGGCAATCATGGAATTACGAAGAAACAGCCCACTCAATTATATTTTATTTTATTTCTCTTATTAAAGAGTGATAAAAAAAGTTCATCATTTTGAACTTTCTATCCGTTCGTCTGCCTGTGTATAAGGTTGACAATGGTCAAGGGTTACGAACTGATTAAATTTTGGTCATTTGCACTTTCTGTCCGTCTGTCTGCGTACATGGTAACTCCGTTCGCTTGTGTACTTGATAATATTACGATACATACATATTTCAAAACGAATCACCGATTATAATTTGTAAGTTTGATAAAAATATCAAAAATTGTAAAAACACGTCGTTTAGATACATATGGGGAAGTTTAATGGAAGGTTTACCTTACTTTTAGCACAGATTACCCTATACTAGGTAATCTGTGCCTTTAGCATCCATCGTCGCATCCCAGCTACCTACACTTTAGCTTATCATTTACGTGTTGTTTGATACATGTCTCGTTTCGATACAAAAAAATAAAAATTGCCATGTTTTGTTTCGTTTCAGAGAAATCATCAGCGACTTTATTTTTTATATGACCCGTAAAAAAAGTAGATACTGTATTGAGTAGTATTTTTTTATCACGAATACAACCATATATGGCGCACACAAAAAAACAAAAGTTGGAAACTGTTGGTTTCAACAGGATGGTGCACCTTCGCACAGTCCTCTGCTAGAATACCTATCGGACGGATTGTTCATTTGCAGAAAATTATTCGGATAGACATTTTTGCATGATTGGGGGATTGTGCGAGGGTGCACCATCCTGTTGAAACCAACTTTTTTTCCTTGTGTGCGCCGCACATCGTATTCGTAATAAATAGAGACCGGATTTCATGCTTTTATGTATTACCTCAATATTGTATGCAGCTCAAATAAATCAATAATTTATACGAACTAACAAAAATGAATCACATTGGCGCAAAGAAAATAGTGCATATTTTGCATTTTTGGGGTTTTTGTGCATATTTAAGAAAGATTAGCATTTTATTAACTTTTTAAACCATTTTTATTACAAAACAAGTTTCCAGTGGTAATAATTGCAACAATTATATCTTTATTTATAAATTATTAAGATAAACCAATAATAAATCAAATAAAATAAAAATTATAAAATAGAAACAGAACAAAAGAAGAAATTAGAAAAAAATAAAAAGAAAAAAAAACAAAAAGAAAAAGAAAAGAATAAAAAAAATAAATGTAATACAAACAAAAATATGGCGCCCAAGTTTGTTAAATTATAAAACGTCGGCGGTGTTCAATCAGCATTAATTTATAATGCAAGCACATTTTCAAGTTCAACAAATGAGATGAGGAATATTGGCTGGAGAAAATGTTGAATTAAAGAAATTTCCAATGATTTTTTGTGCATTATTTAATTTTTCATGCACATCTTCATGCTTTTTTGCCATATTTTTTGTGTATATATATACAATTTGTACTTTTTTTGCGGGCCATATATAAAATATAAAGTTGCTGATGATTTTTTCGACACGAAACGTTGTATTGAAAACCTCTCAATGGTGTTTGTACAGTTCAAAAAGCGGCAATGAGAAAGTGTTTTTTTATTTTGTTGCATCTGTTCAAATAACATTGGGAAAAAAAACGAAATCGGCAAATTTCGGTTTTTCTGGTATATCTTCGAAAGTATTTGGAATTTTCCGGTTTTCTTTAAAGCATGATAATAACTACTTAATTGCGCAAGTTTTCCTTAATTTAACCATCGTCGTATATCTTCTAGGGTTTCAGCTAAATCTAATGACTGAGTGCGAGGGACACTGCCTAGTTGCAGAGGCCAACTTACTGTCTGTCTGATGGAAAATATCCATTTCATTTTGAACCAGCTTATATTTTCTACTTACGGGTCATTTAATAAACATTAAAACAAGAAATTTTGTCTCTTGAACATTAATTTAGCAAATTGTACATTATAATGACACGCTTTAGCTTTAAGTAGCCATTAGTATACATTAGAATTATTTATAACTAAAGGCGTTGCCAAGTTTTCATCATGTCGTTGCTAATTATAATTAGTTTTTTGTCTCATTCACTCCCATCGAGTGATTGATATAGACATAATTACGTGCGCTAAGCTTCCGTTTTCTAATTATGCAAAACGTTCGATTTTATTTGCCCAAAAAAAGAGTGGCGCGCACACGCTCCTCTATCTATTACTGTAAAAAGGGGTGCTCAAATTGAATAACAATAATAACGATTATGGCGCTACTGATGTATCCGCGTCAGGATCAAAGATGCCTTCTATAATGTAATAACTGCCGGTCTGTTGGCGACATTAGCACGTGCATTGTTGAACTGTCATTCTGTCAGGCCATTGTTACGCTGTCAATCATAATAGTGTACGCTCTCTAGAGACCGATTATGCGGCTACAAAAGCCGGCCAAAAAACGAACAGCCATATACTAATCTGCGATTAGCATATTACATGCAAAAATACAAACCTTCCGCATTTCCAATTGTGCCCTTTCTCAAGTCATTAGGCGACTTTTAAATTTACCCTCGCCGAATGCGTGATTTTTTTACGATCGAAGGGAGCGCGGATGATATTTTTGGAAGCGCTATTCATAAATTATATCATTTGTAGCGAGGTTGTAAAGAATGTAGACTTATAAATCAGAATGGTTAGCATCGGATATGAGACAAGATTGTAGCACATGTGAGAAGAGCGTTGGTATTGTCACGGATGAGGAAATATTCGCTTTGAGCGGCTGCCTCTGTCAACTCACGCGAAAAACTGACAAATTTTTATGTCCCCATAAAAATAAAGAGTGTTAAACCATTACAATTTTTTCTTCGTGCGTTCAAGACTTGTTTCTTAAATTAAATTTTAAGGAAAAAAGTTAATGAGGGACTCATTTGCTTTAACATATGACATTTCTCTATTTTAATAGAACAGTTATATTTATTAAGAAGTAGACATAGGGATTTCACGTGCATTGTTCTTCCCTATGTCTACTTTTAAATGACAAAATCTCATCTAAAGGGCGCCAAATTGCAACCAAAATAGAACAGAATAGAAATACACCTTATGGGTAATCAAATCGAACCCATTTACATATGGGTATTTTTTACTTAATCAAACGAACAACTATTTTATTAGAAAATCTAATTTCAATGAGTACATAAATGACCAAATCTATGTAATACAAACGGCTTCAATTGACCCAGAGGGTGGTATTTTTAAGAAAAACAAATCTCAAATTTTCTTTAGAATTGTTACCATAAATTAAATGTAGTTTAGAACATTTTTCTTAATTTTACTCATATCAAAATGTCCTTTGGCAGCTGATGATTTTCTTACAAAACGGTAGTTCAAATGAGTTTACGTTAGCAAGCAAGCAGGTCCTGGATTCGAATCCCAGATTAGGCAAAACGTAGCTTGCGACGATGCAAAAGAGAAAAGATCCCCCCTAAAAACGGCTTTACCTTTTATAAATTCGGCTTTTACGTGGAGAGAACGTAGGAAAGTACAAATCGGTCGGCGAGTCGTTGCGAAAATTAAAACTTCTTTAATTAATTACGCGCCCGAGCATCAACGGAAAAATATGAGACTGAGCTCATAATTCTTCTTAATTAATCGCGTTTAATTTGTCAATAAGAATCGAATGATGTTTACTGCAACACATTTATTTAGCTACTGTTATTTCCATTCACTTAATTTGCCCTATCCAAATTTCCAGAATCGGCTCCAATGCTCGATTTAAATGCCCCATAGAAAATAAAACCAGCTAATAATGGCTTATCATGTCTGCAATTCTAAAATATTAATTTGTCCTCTTCTTCTCTGGCAAAAGAGCTTTTAACAGTCAGTTTAAATATCCCTAGCGGAACCGTTGCAAAACTAATAAATTCACTACTTAAGTTAGTGCGTTATTGGCGGTAAGACAAACAATTAAACGAAATGAAAACACACAAAGCTCCAAAATTTGGACGTTTTTTTCAGTTTTTCACTCGTATCCTAAAAATATTTTTTGTATCACAGTGAAATGAATTTCTAGACCCAATA